CAAGTACTCATTTAAGCATTAGAGACTCTTCACCGGAAAACTTCTCTTGTAAGAGTTTGTGCAGGTCTAAAGACGTTCAACCAGTGGAGAAACTCAAAAACAGGTTGATTCCCGTTGGTCGTGAGTCTTTTAAGTACCACAATAGTTACGAAAAATTGAAATTGTTAATTATGCTAAGATAGTGCGACAACTTTGTAAAAGTTAGTTCTAATTTGAATGGAAATGCTATGGAGCCAACGGTTGGCTCCATAGCAGGATTGCTAATTTGAAATATCCAATCGTAAATGGATAAATTTGTGGAAAAGAATATTGAACTTGTCAAATTAGAGAAATAACAAAGTTGAGTTTTCCAGTTGCATCACTATTTACCTTATGTCATAATAAAATTATACTTGTCAATAAAACTTTCACAATCAATTTGACCGGTCAAATTTGGTATTTATACGATTGTTTACGCAAATGGATACTGAAAATCCCTTGATCATGGCATGGAATGGATACTATATCATCAACCATAATATTGAACGGGTACATAACCCAATCAATTAATTAACTAATTTCCTCAACTTCATTTTCCCATGACCTATAAAAAGGACTTGTGATCTGGCTCTCATTTTCCGTCACACTAACCTAATATTAACAAAAAGGAAAAAGAAAAAAGAAATGTGGAGGGTGTATTCTGTTATGTTGATTTTGGGTCTCTTATTTCTCACCACACCATTCATCTTTGTTCATGGTTCGAAAGATGATGAACCAAATCCATTAATTAACGAAGAAAATGATGTTGTTTGGAGTCTCAACTCATTTAAACGCCGTCACCACCACCACCATACTCCGGCGCCTCACGGTGGCGGCCACCACCATGACCACCACCATGCTCCGGCACCTCACGGTGGTCACCACCCCCATTCTGAAGGTCCATCCCCTCGTGGCGCCGGCCACCCTCACCATCACCATCACCATCACCATCACCATCACCATGCCCATCCTCCTAAGCCCTAGTTGGATATCATGAGAAAGTAATAATAGCTACCTAGCTTTGCTTAATTTCGTATTAATGACTATTATTAATTAAAAACACGCATTTATTTAGATCAGTTGTTTTTTATGTGGTATAACTACTTACTTATATTACAATATTCGATTGTCTGATTTTTTATCGTTTTGTCGTGTTGTTCAAGTAAACTGTTATAAATTTGAATTAATCAGTATGGAGCCATGGTTCTTCGAAGTATAATAGCGGATTTACGGGTCAAACCTCTCAATTAAGTCCAATCCGCTAATTTGTCTTCAATCCGCTATCTACCAAACGGGACCATAATTTTTCAAACTACGCACCTTAAAGTAATTTTATTCAAACTCCATACCTTGGTTTGGAGACGTATTTATACATTCTTCTTCTTGAAGGAAACGTATGATATTAGTTTCATTCTGTTACAAAAATATCATGTAAATGAACGGATAATTTTTTATCTTTATAGATACATACAAATTACCTTATAAAATTAACCAATTGTAAATCAAATATATTAAAAACCCCTTTGAGAGTGTGTTTTCTCTCCACATGTGGGAGTATTAGTTTGTGTTGATGAGTGTGTTGTTATGTGTTTCTAGTGCAGGTTTTAGGCGAGTTTCAGGTGTGTCCTCCCACTAAACTCGGCTCTATAGTTGTATCTTCTCAGCTATTTGATTGTTTCTAGATGTATTTATGTGTGTTTCTTTATAAATTTCTATAGTTCAAAAAATAAATCAATTATATTAGACAAATTAGTGAGGTATTATTCTATGTAGGTTTGGAAAAACATTTGAAGGAAACAAGTTTTATTTAAAAATTGATATATAAATCAGTATTCCAATCATCAAGTGTCTAGTATATTAAAAAAAGAAATCGTTAGTTGTACATCTTAAATAATGGCGACACAAAAGGAAAAAATCAAATTATATACCTAGGAGTACTAACTAAATATTAAAATATTATATTTTGTTAAGTGTAAAATAGATAATAATATTTGAATGTTATTACATATTCAATTATATTACAACAAATGTGATGGAAATCAAAGAATTTATTTTAATATATACGGTTGTTTTCATCAAGATATCAGAAAAAAAAATATATGTTAATATTTATGGTTGGTTTAGTTATTGTAAGTATATACAAAATAAATAAATGAAAGTTTCATAAAACAAAAACTACAGTACATTGGTATTTTATTTCAAATTCTAAAAAAATTATTTGTACACAACATTATTAGTTCTACTTACAATTTTTTCATCCTTGTCGCAGCACAAATTTGTAATGAATTGTGACATCCGTAAATCAAGAGGTTAATATTGATAAGATAAGGGATGTGTTTAGTTAATATTTTATTAATTATATTATAAATATAATTATTATATATAATTTTAATTCATCAATAAGCAAACAAAGACACATGCTCAAAAATGGCAAAAATATATCAACTTGGAAAAATAAAAAATATGATGAATGGGCTAAAAATTATCAACTTGGAAAAATAAAAAAATATGATGAATGAGCTAAAATTTATCAACTTGAAAAAGTAAGATAAGGGATGATAATTAAGCTAAGGGCTAAAACTTTTTAGAATTAAGATAAGGGAAATTTATTTGCTTACCACATGGATTTAAATTTATTGCGGATATACGAAGTAGATATTTTATTTGCATGTATACCTATTCAATTGCAATTATTGGGGCTGAGACTTAAAATCCGTTACCACATAAGTGAGAGAACACGTTCCTACAATCACGCTAGTAATATTTTTGTATAGAATTTTCACTGAAAGAAAAGGTAAGTTTATATAACCTATTAATTAGGAATTTGTTCATATCGTGCTCGGCGAAAGACTTGGAATTTGAAATTTAAACGTCCTCTTTTCTCTCATTATACAGAAAATAAAACAATCAAATATATACAAAATATACACGTTCATAGAATAAGTCTTCTTGATGATATAAACACCGATTTTGAACTATACACAATATACAGAAAATACCCATCACATACACACAACACATATTTTCCATAGCACATATACGGAAAATACCCAACACATATACGGAAAATGCCCAACACATATACCCGACACATATTTTTAGTAGCACATATACGGAAAATACCCAGCACATATACGCAGACAAGAGATGGTCGAAATTGCTTGTATTCTTTGAAGACGATAACTCGATCTACGATATGGGGGTATCTCGTCGCCTGATGTCGGAGATTTTCCAAACTTAGTTCTTGCCATCTTTGAAATCGAGTTTAGAGAAATGGGGTTTGTAGTTGGTGTGTTGTGGGAGAGAGTGGGGGAGAATTTGTGTTGACCTATTTAGACGTGAGCGGTTACCGAGGTGTGAGAGATTACTGTCTTACCAATTACATCGGAAGCAATTATTTGGAAATCACATCTGAAATCAATGATTGCATTAGCTACTATCGCGGTGCTTCCGGAGCGATACCCAGTCACGGATTTTTTGGTGGCCACCCCCGATGTCCGTCGCCAGGCCCAGATAGAAAACCTTCTCGCCATCTTTCTCTAGCAAAGAATTAAACACACCTAAATAACCAGAAAAAATTAGTGCACTTCTTCCCGAGAGAACCAGGCTTTGGGAGGAAAAAAAAAAAGAAGATACGTATGAAATTTGGAGAAGACACAGTGAGAGAGGGAGGAGAGGGAGAGAGAAGAGGTGGGAGAGAGAAGACGTGAAACGTGTTGAAGAGAACCCTTTTTGGTATTGATATTATCACCACTAATTTAGCTAGTAAATTAATTATTTAAGTCAACTTTTGATATCATCCGAATTCTAGTAAAACTGCAAATATAAACGTAATATTTGACTATAATGCAAATATTTTTAAACGGGTATTATTTGTGTAATTAAAATTGAACTTTCTAGTGTAGACTATAATTTTCTCTTAAGATAATGGACGTGTTTAGTTAAGATTTTATTAATTATTTTATCAATATAATTATAATATATAGTTTTAGTTTATCATTATTTATTAGGCAAACAAAGACAAAGACTAAGAAATGGACTAAAATTTATCAACATGAAAAAAAATAAAAAAATAAAAAATGATGAATTGGATAAATCCTTAGTAAAATGAGATAAAGATAGAAAGATTTTTGTGATTTTTAATTTCAGTTAAAGACAAATTTGGTAATGAAAGGGAGATTGATTGAAAACAATAATGTATGGTGGAAAAATTATTTATGGCACTTTCGAAGCCAAATTTATTTCTAAATTTTTTATTCGAACCTAAATACGAAGCATGATATTGTGACAGGTAGGATTTCAAAAGCGTGCGAGCCTGTCATTTAGGCTGAGCACAATTTGAATTAATATATAGAGGGATTAGAAATTTAATTTGAGACTATCCGAATCTAAGATAAACAGAAGAAAATGGAAAAATTCTTTCAAGATAGACAATTATTCTTGATAATATAATTTGGATA